AGTAAACATAGTAAAGTACGAGTAAACATAGTAAAGTACTGGTAAACATAGTAAAGTACTGGTAAACATAGTAAAGTATTGGTAAACATAGTAAAGTACTAGTAAACATAGTAAAGTACTAGTAAACATAGTAAAGTATTAGTAAACATAGTAAAGTACAAGTAAACATAGTAAAGTACTAGTAAAGTACTTCATCCGTCATCCTTAATGTTCCAAGTCTAAATATTACTACAACAGACATTTAGGCAAAAATATTATTCATGTGATGTCACAACAGTAAACATGTTGATGGTTCCGTTACATTATTAATAATAATAATAATAATCTCTTCATGGTTCTGCAGCACAGCTACAGGGAGGTCGGGATTCTTCTTCTCTATCTCGGCGTCGGAGTTTCCGTCTTCTCTGGAATCGCGTACACGGCCGAATACGAAGAGGTAACGTTTCATCTGTAAAAAACACGAGTACATTAATATTAAGTAATAATACTCAAGTAAAGTACAAGTACCTATAGTGTATTTAATATTTTGAACAGTAGAAAGTAAAACATGTAAATCTGTTGTTGCCACAACATCATTTTTTGTTTGTAACCATAATTTACAAAGAGAATTGAGTTTTTAATTAATATTATTTTAAGGTCAACAAATGAATATAATTGATATAATTACTAATAATACTAATAATAGTAATAATAAATTCTCTGTCTGTCTGTCCTCTGTCTGTCTGTCTCACTGTCTGCCTGTCCTCTGTCTGTCTGTCCGTCCTCTGTCTGCCTGTTCTCTGTCTGTCTGTCTGTCCTCTGTCTGTCTGTCTGTCTGTCTGTCTGTCTGTCCTCTGTCTGTCTCACTGTCTGCCTGTCTGTCTGTCTGTCCTCTGTCTGTCTGTCTCACTGTCTGCCTGTCCTCTGTCTGTCTGTCCGTCCTCTGTCTGCCTGTTCTCTGTCTGTCTGTCTGTCTGTCTGTCCTCTGTCTGTCTGCCCTCTGTCTGTCTGTCTGTCTGCCCTCTGTCTGTCTGTCTGTCTGTCTGTCTGTCGTCTGTCTGTCTGTCTGTCTGTCTGTCCTCTGTCCTCTGTCTGTCTGCCTGTCCTCTGTCTGTCTGTCTGTCTGTCCTCTGTCCTCTGTCTGTCTGTCTGTCCTCTGTCTGTCTGTCCTCTGTCTGTCTGTCTGTCTGTCTGTCCTCTGTCTGTCGTCTCTCTGTCTGTCTGTCTGTCCTCTGTCCGTCCTCTGTCCGTCCTCTGTCCGTCCTCTGTCTGTCCTCTGTCTGTCTGTCCGTCTGTCTGTCTGTCCTCTGTCTGTCTGTCTGTCTGTCTGTCCTCTGTCTGTCTGTCCTCTGTCTCACTGTCTGTCTGTCCTCTGTCTCACTGTCTGTCTGTCTTCTGTCTCACTGTCTGTCTGTCTGTCTGTCTGTCCTCTGTCTGTCTGTCCTCTGTCTGTCTGTCTGTCCGTCCTCTGTCTGTCCTCTGTCTGTCCTCTGTCTGTCCTCTGTCTGTCCTCTGTCCGTCCTCTGTCTGTCGTCTCTCTGTCTGTCTGTCTGTCTGTCCTCTGTCTGTCTGTCTGTCTGTCCTCTGTGCTCTGTCTGTCCTCTGTCCCTCTGTCTGTCGTCTCTCTGTCTCACTGTCTGTCTGTCTGTCTGTCCTCTGTCCGTCCTCTGTCTGTCCTCTGTCCGTCTGTCTGTTGTCTCTCTGTCTATCCTCTGTCTGTCCTCTGTCTGTCTCTGTCCGTCTCTCTCTCTGTCTGTCCGTCCTCCAGGGCGTTGGTCTGGACACCATCCCGGCCTGCTGGTGGTGGGGGACGGTCAGCATGACCACAGTCGGCTACGGGGACGTGGTGCCCGTCACGGTGGCCGGGAAGCTGGCAGCCAGCGGCTGCATTCTGGGCGGAACTCTGGTGGTGGCGCTGCCCATCACCATCATCTTCAACAAGTTCTCCCACTTCTACCGGAGACAGAAAGCTCTGGAGGCGTCGGTGAGGAACAACCACCGCAGGAAGATGAGGATGAGCTGCGACAACGTGCCCGAGGAGGACGAGACGGACGACATGGAAGACGACATCGACTACGAGGACGACGGAGGTGTGATCAACTACAGCTACGTGGAACATCCGTCCTACTCGTCCGTCCTGAGGAGGAAGGAGCTGCTGGAGCTTCACATTTAAACTCATTTAAAGTCATATCTGACATAACGGAGGAGGAACTGTGGATTATTAATAACTGAAGAATTGATCAGATGCTTCCAGAAGAGAGAGTCGGAGGTTCTGACATCACTTCCTGTTTGTCTTTTTCTGTGGACGTCGGTTTGTCTCTGGATGGTCGTTTGTCCACGTTGTCCTCCGTTAAAATAAATGTGTGAGCGATGAAAAGTGAACTGAACAGGAAGTGAAATCTTATGCATGAAATAAAAAAGTATGATGAATAAACTGTGAAAAGTACTTTTACTTTAGAGAAATAGAGAGAAGAGATGTTTAAGATGCTAACACCACGACAATGCTAATAACAAAGTACATCTACTCAATAGTTCAGTACTGTTTTCAGGTACTTGTACTTTACTTGAGTATTTACATTTTCTGCAAATATACTTTTCTTTCTCCACAAGATTAATAATAATAATAATAAAGTTACTTTGCAGATTCAGATTAATAGAAAACGAAGAAATGAGCTCCACCTTTACAAATAAGAAGTGATGTTAAAGCATCGATGAGTAAAACACAATAATATAATATATTCTGCTATGATATGTTATATGTAATATGCAGGACTTGTACTTGTACCTGAGTATTTTAAGGCTGTAGTATTACTACTTTACTTCAGTAAAGGATCGGAGTACTTCTGTGGTCGGTCAAAGAAATTAGAAAATACAGAAACTCACCAACGTACAAACAAAAACACATTTAAGACTTTAAGATGTTTCACATGACGGATGTTCATGTTTCCTTCTTCACTGAGACCGTTAAACATGAAGTTGTTCTGCTCCGCCATATTAACGGCCAACCCAAAACTCATAGGGTACTTCTTGTAATGTAATGGTACTATTATATCGACATGCAGAGCGGAGTGATCAGGTGTGTGCATTTGCAGATGTGAAAAATGAAAATATCCGCGACAGGTTAGTCATAGGATATTAGATAAAGACCTATCAGAGAAGCTACAGCTAATGCTAGACGTGACGCTCGATAAAGCGGTAGAGCTAGTGCGGCAGTCTGAGCAAGTAAAGGGGCATATTAGCCAGCAGGGAGCTAATGCTAACTGTTCTGAATTGAGGGAAGTAGCTTACAAGCAGCGTGCGCAATACAATGAAAAACAGAGAAACGGACGCTGGCATACAAAAGAGGCTCGAGCGAAACAAGGTGATAAGGGACACAAATGTTCTAGATGTGGCAGAGTGCATGCTAAAGAAGACAATTGTGCCGCACGTGATGCAGAATGCCACGAGTGTAAGAAGCTAGGACATTTTGCAGCAGTATGCCGTTCCCGCCTGATCAACGAGGTCACGGCACCCTACAAGGGGGGAGACGGGAGAGACGTTCAGTTCCTGGGGGAAATTACAGATGTGGACGACTCAAACAAAGCATGGACGGTAAAACTGCCGGTGCAAGATATTAAAATAGAATTTAAAATCGACACAGGGGCAGATTTAAGTGTCATTTGAGAAAAGACTTTTAACCTCCTGACAAATAAGCCATGACTGAAAACTGGTGTAACCAAATTAGGCAGCCCAGGAGGTAGAGTGAACTGCAAGGGTTACTTCACAGCTACTACTGAGTGGAAAAAGCAAACATTCAGGTTTAAAGTAAATGTGATAAAGGGGCCACATGGCAGCAACCTGCTGAGCCGTAATGTAGCTATTGCTATGGGCCTAGTTAAGCGATAGAAGAGATCAAAAGCACAGAGTATTTGAGTGAGGCCAGCCCAGCAGACATAGGCAGACTGAAGATAAAGCCAATCAAAATCAGACTGCAGTAGGATGCTGTACCCTACAGTGTTACTACGGCAAGGCGCGTGTCAGTGCCTATGCTCCCTAAAGTAAAAAAAGAACTGGACTGCATGGTAGCTAGTGGGGTGATAGAGCCAATCAAGGAGCCCACGGAGTGGTGTGCTCCGATGGTTGCTGTACCCAAGAAGAACAAAGAGCAGCCAAGGATTTACGTTGATCTAAAACGCCTGAATAAATCAGTAAAGAGGGAGAAGTTTATTATGCCCACAATAGATGACATCCTACCTAAACTCGCAGGTGCAAAAGTGTTTTCCCTTTTGGACGCAGCAAGTGGTTTCTGGCAGATACCACTAGACAGAGTGCCAAACCCACTACCTTCATAACTCCCTTTGGAAGGTATTTCTTTAATAGACTGCCATTTGGAATCACAAGTGCACCAGAAATCTTTCAACGTGAAATGACTGAGCTCTTGCAAGATCAAGAAGGCCTGGCGGTTTACATGGATGACATCCTTATTTATTCAGACTCGGAAGAAGTCCATGAAGTGAGACTCCAAAAGACTCTGGACACACTGGAGAAAGCTGGTTTAAAGCTAAACCACGACAAATGTCTCCTGCGTCAGCGAAGACTCAACTACCTTGGACACTGCATCGATGAGCATGGCATTCGGCCAGATGAGGTTAAGGTCAAGGCCGTCACTCAGCTTGAGCCACCAAACAATGTCACTGATCTGAGAAGGATCCTGGGGATGATACACTACTTAGGCAGGTACCTGCCAAACCTGTCTGACGTCACCAAACCCCTCAACGACCTACTCAAAAACGACGTGACATGGGCACGGAGTGCAGTGCAGGAGGAGGCCTTTGAGAAGGTAAAACAACTCATCACAGAGTCACCTGTACTAGCATTCTACGATGTGAGTAAGCCTACCATTATCAGTGCAGATGCTAGTAGTTATGGCTTAGGTGGAGTCCTGCTACAGAAACATGAACAGTTGAAACAGTAGCGTTTTGTTCCAGAACACTCACTGATGCTGAGCAACGCTACGCGCAAATTGAAAGGGAGTGTCTTGCTGCAGTGTGGACCTGTGAGAAGTTTTCCAGGTACCTCTATGGACTAGACTCCTTTACTCTACAGAGTGATCACAAGCCACTTATTCCCTTGATCAACTGTAAAGATATCGACTCAGTGTCTATCAGGTGTCAGAGACTTTTACTGCGTATGATGCGTTACAACCCTACAGCGGTGTATGTGCCGGGGAAACAACTTATCGTAGCAGATACACTGTCTAGACATCCCCAGGCTACTGTCACACAGGAAATCGCGGAGCTGACCAGTGAAATCGAAGCCTATGAGAAAGCAATCCACGAGTCATGGCCCATTTCACCCACCAAGCTCGACATGGTCAAACAACAGACCCTACAGGACGCAGAACTGCAGATGGTTCAACACTGCGTGATGTCGGGATGGCCCAAATATGCTGTTAAAGTGCCTAACAAGGTAAAAGACTACTACACTTCCAGACATCACCTCACGGTTTCAGAAGGACTGGTGTTGTATAATGATAGAATAGTAGTACCACGGATGATGAGGTCTGAGATATTACAGCGCATACATGATGGACATCAAGGCATAGTGAAGTGCCGGGAGCGGGCTAGGTGTAGTGTGTGGTGGCCTGGAGTAAGCAAGCACATCCAGGACGCTGTCAGCACATGTAAGGACTGTCAGGAGTCCAAGCCGACCCAGAAAAGAGAACCTCTGATCACTACCCCGCTACCCAGTCGCCCATGGGAAAGAGTAGCAGCCGACATATGTGAGCTGAACAAACAGAACTTCTTGGTAGTTGTAGACTATTTTTCACGATATATAGAAATAGCCTACCTCAACGACATGTCAGGTGAAACCACGAGAGCTAAGCTGAAGAACATCTTTGCTAGATGGGGGTGCCCAAATGAACTTGTCACAGACAATGGCCCCCAATTGTCAGGCAGAGCTTTCGTGCAGTTCTCTAAGGAGTATGATTTCAGACATATCACCTCCAGTCCTCACTACCCTCAAGCAAATGGTGAGGCAGAGAGAGCTGTGCAGACAGCCAAGCAGATCCTGAAACAAACTGACCCTTTCTTAGCCCTCTTGGTCTACAGAGCGACCCCGCTTCAAGCCACAGGCGTGAGCCCAGCTCAGCTCATGCTTGGCAGACAAATCCGTACTACAGTTCCTACACTGGAGGCAAATCTACAACCTGGATGGCCAGACCTCCACAAAGTGAGACAGAACGATGAGAGGATGAAACAGAGCTACAGGCGAGCCTACAATGACAAGAATAACGTCAGAACTCTACCAGACCTTCAGCCTGGAACCAACGTTGCTGTGAAGCTGGATGATGAGAGAGGCTGGACAAAGTCTGCTTCGGTCATTAAGCAAAGTGACACACCGAGGTCATACCTAGTCCAGACGGATAAAGGAGTACTGCGCAGGAACCGTCGCCATCTGAGACCTCTCCAAAGCCCTACAGAGACTTTCAGGAGGGAGGGGACGGATGTATAGTGAACAATGGAGAGTGAAGTTCACCTGGTTCTGATGCAGACACACCTCCTGTTACATCTCAAGATACTATGACACAGACTGCAACACGCACAACCTCCAGCGGCAGAATTGTAAAACCACCAGACCGATACGGAGAGTATGTTAAGTAGTTAGGACATAGTCTGCATCAAGTGGCAGAATAATCCACTGCAGCTATGTTGGTGGCTGGTAGTCCACCCAGATCACAATAGTTCAGGATTGGTTTATGTTAAATGACTGTTTCATTAATACAAAATAAAACTGTTAAGTGCCACAAGAAGTTTAAATCCTGAAGAGATTTTGAAAGTAAATGTATGTTGTTATGATACTGTGTTACTTAATAGAGCATTCGTTCTGAGTTTTACAATGAAGAGTTAGACGTACAGAAGATGTTGACAGACGACATTATGCCTTTTTGCAGCATGTCTTAAATGACTCAAAGAAAGGGTGATTTAATGTAATGGTACTACTTTATCGACATGCAGAGCGGAGTGAGCGGAGAGGAAATGTATTTTAAGAGACATGCGACGTCTGTTTCTGATGACGGTGCTGATGATCACAGCTGATCAGCTGTCAGTCGGCTTTAACAGCTGGAGAGACTTTTGATAAGTTAGTGTCTGTTCACATGATCACTGCACTTAATAACTAACTAATAATACTAATAACTAATAAAGACACAGTGATCACCACTGTACTTAATAATGGTAACTGATAATTAGTGCTGGGCAACCATTACAATTTGAAATCGCAATTAATCTCATTGTTATGCGCAAAGTTCAACAATTAATTCAAAAGTAGTGTATTGCGCACTTTTATTTTGAAAGTACTGCTATATGAACAAAGGGTCAATAACATTTGGTGTGGAAACACTTTAAACACTAGAGAGGGTTGTCCGCTAGCCGCAAGGTCACCGGTTCAATCCTCGGCTGCAACGTGATCCGTGTCATAGTGTCCCTGAGCAAGACACTGAACCTCTAACTGCTCCCCGGGCGCCTGCATGGGCAGCCCACTGCTCCCTATATACAGGGATGGGTCAAATGCAGAGAAAGATTTCCCTACTGTGGGATTAATAAAGGAATGTTTCTTCTTCTTATTATACATAGTACAAACAAAAACACTTTAAAAACTCTAAAAAAATAATTTAAATGAATCATTTCTTTTTTGCTTTTCTTAGTATTTAGGTCAGACACACAACGCTGATTACCGTAATGTGTGGTATTTGTTATAAATGTACATTGGTACATAGAGGGTGATAAGAAGCTGTACATGGGACTTAGGACCCAGGGGAATGTAGGTGAAGGAAACAGGAAGGGACGCCACGCAAACAGCTGTTCACCACTGGCTGCCCGGTTCTTGTGTTAAAAATTTCCGCTTAATAATAAAAAAAAAACTGCGTTAACGCACGATAAAATACTTGTCGGCATTAATTAATGAACGTGTCAACTTGCCCAGCACTAATTATATATATATATATATATATATATAGTGTATTATTACTACTCTTAAGTACAGGATGTGAATACTTTTGAAGTGGCAGCATAAAAAAACTAAATGCAGATTTTCATCAATTAAATCCATAAAACTCACAGAAAATTAATTCAATTAAAAAACAAACATTTTTTACTGTAAAAGTATAAAAACAAACAAGCGATTTAAATTTCCTCAGTTTTTTATTTATTTCTTTATTCAACAAACAGAAACCAAATACCAGCGATCTGAAACAAACAGACTTCACTGAATTCTTTAAGGCAAAATATAAACTTCAGAAACAGGAAGTGTGCAAATAAAAGACGAGTCAGCAGAAAAACTTTTCTCTTTATCTGAATAACGAAGAAGCAAAAATGTTCTTTTCTTTGTTTCCAGACGTCAGTTTTATGTGGAAGTCAATGACGGTTTGAATGTTTTATGGTCAATATTACGTGAACAGATTTAAAACATCTGGAAAAAGACATTTGAGCTGCTGAAGACGAATAAATGAATCTATGTTTCAGCAGGATTTAGACATTTGAACTGATTCACTCATTAAACTAAAGAAGAAGTAACTAAAACACAAAGTAATCCAGATGTGTTCCGTGTTTTCACTGATGTTTTAATAATTGTTCTCTTCGTACGGAACAAAGAACACAGAAACACTAACGGTGTGAAAAGGCGGATTTAAAATAACAACAGTTTCATTTCCAGTGATTACGACTTTCATTTCACTGCCAGAACCAAACATGCATCATATTTCATAACAATCAAGCTGCATTATTTTGTAATATTTTCCCTTTTGAAATCCTCTCGTCTGAGATCAAAGTTCAGAAACCGACAGTAAAAAAGCTTTTTGTTTTGTTTGTAACAACCAAGAAAACATGAAAAATGAAATTGTGCTCATGAGTTTCAACAGCATCTTGACTTATTGACTCGATAACTACTAAATATTTAATATAACTTAATGAAAAGCCTCGTTTTGTAATCAGAATATACAAATACAGCCGGATGTGCTCGTATATTTACAGAAAGAGTCTTTAACGATCTACGATGACTCAGCACGTTTCTATTTTTACACCCTGAACACTTTCATGACCTGAGAAGTTTAACTTCTGAACCTACGTAGAAAAATAAACCTGTTTCTGTGCTGATGGAGAGGAATGAAGCTTCAGACTGCAGCAGCTTCAGACTGCAGCAGCTTCAGACTGCAGCAGCTTCAACTGCAGCAGCTTCAGACTGCAGCAGCTTCAACTGCAGCAGCTTCAGACTGCAGCAGCTTCAACTGCAGCAGCTTCAGACTGCAGCAGCTTCAGACTGCAGCAGCTTCAGACTGCAGCAGCTTCAACTGCAGCAGCTTCAACTGCAGCAGCTTCAACTGCAGCAGCTTCAGACTGCAGCATCCTGACTCTTTTTTTGGAGAGTAATCTCATTCAAACTAATAAATCCACTTTGTTGAATTGATGCCATAAATCTGACAACTCAGTTCTTTTGTTTTTTAGTTTACTAAAGAGTAAAAATAGACGCTGGACTCTGAAATAAAGAAATAAAATGAAGAACACTGCAGGTTAAACACTGTCAGGAAATCTGGTCCAACAGTTATTTTGTTGAGCAGAAAATAAAAACATGATTTATGAAAAACCATAGAAACATGTACCGAATAAAGACATTTAGTTTTCATAATCAAGTTTAAAGTTGAGAGAGAATCATCTCCTTCTAGCCGTTCATCGTGATAGAAAACACCAGTTTGGTTTCTTCGTTTTTATCATTCGGGCAAAAGAGGCTGTGGATCTGAGTCCAGAGATGAAACACTGAGTCCAGAGATGAGAGGAAACACCTCAGTAAAGACCGTCAGCAGGTAGAAAGATATCGTACCACGAGATTAAGAGAAACCAGTTGGATTTGATGAACCATCGCTGTGTTTTAAACAGAAAGTGTAACAAAGAGAAAGAAGCTTGAGTCCAGATGAGCTGCTGATGGATTTAGAATCAAACGGTTCTGAGGAAGTTCTTCAGCGGTCTGACCTTCAGAAGTTCTTCTCACGTTCTCTAAAACGTCTCGCAGAAGAAACATCAGATGTTCTGCTGCCGGCGTTTTTTGGCCTCGATGGCGTCCAGGATGGGCTGCCTCTTGGTCTGGTAGCGCTGCCGGATCTCCTCGATCTCCTGCTCCATCTGAGGGTCCAGAGAGGCCAGACGCAGTCGCAGCTCCTCCACCGACCACGAGTTCACCTGCAAACATCAGCAGCTTCATCTCACCTGCTTCAACATCACACTCAATCAATTGAGTTGATCAACTCCATTATCTAGATCTCTAGAACACAACATTCCTTATTTCCAGCTTCTCAAGTGTGAGATTTTGTTTTTACAGATGGTCAAACAAAAACAAGCATTTTGAAATTGTAAAAAGAACATTTATAGAGCAAATAATCCACAGATTACAGAGAAGATGGATGAAACATATTTGAAATGCTGCATTGGGTTTATAAGTTGAATTGGTTCACGTCACTCGATAATCTTTCATCATCTATTGTTTTAAAAAGGTCAAGAATCAACGGCTCAGACACCAATGTATATTTGAATATCTATAGCTGAGGATGAAGACCATGTCATGTGATGGAAAGCTTGGTCCTTGTTTAGTCAACTGCTCCCTACCAACCACCATCTTCCTCTTATCCTGTAACCAATATGTATGTATCATACTCTATAAGATATTATTGTACTAGTACACTATATACATGTGTCCTCTCACTGGTGGAACCCGCCCCCCCCCTCCATGTTGCTTCAGTCCTCCACAGATCATTAACGGACACTTTGGAAAATCTTTACCCCAAACTACAAATAGCCTGAAGCCTGCCAGCGATGATCAAGGTGTTTGATAAGTGCATCTATTCTCTCTGCTGACATTCATTCAACCTGGAGGGCTCCCCCCCCCCCCAGCTTCTACCAGCAGCACTTCAGGTATTTATTACCCAGAAATCAATGCAGCTAAAATAACACTGGTGTCCAGCGGAGCGACAACCGTGAAGAGAGGAAAGAGAAAGATCCACAACTGGAGGAGAACCAGAGCCTGCAGATGTGTTTAGACGTGGAGAACACATTTATAGTATATATTATATATTGTATATATATATATATACACAGTATATACACACAGGAGTGGTGGGCCGTCAGGGCCTTCAAAGCCTTCTCTGCTGGCCTAAACAGAATCACAAAGTTATATCTATTTTATAATTTAATAATGTTTCTTAAATACACTACATGTATTATAATTTATAAAGATATTTTCCCCATTATCTTATGTTCTCATTGCACAGCTCCTGTCTTCCTCAGTTGCTCTGCTTCCAGTGCAGCTTGTTTTAAGTAGAGCTTTTATCCAATCAGATCTCACCTCTGTGTCTCTAGGTAAGAACAGAGGCAGAGGCCTGCAGACTCACAAGTGCAACTAGGATCTCCTTGAGATGTGTTCGGAGGAGACAGGAAGGATGGAGAGAAGGAGTCAGGAGACAAGAAGACCAACAAGGGAAGAATAATGATAGACAGAATGGAACAGCTGAAGCAGGTTGTTCTCCGTCTTCTTCTCATGAATAATAGACGGTAGAGCTTCTTCCCTCCACATGTTCTAAGCTGCACTAGAACAACAGTGAACTGGCTCAAGCACACAGATACAAACTAAATATAAACGTCAAACACATCTTCATACCAGGGACTTTCTACACACATGACCTTCACATGTGAGGAAGAGATGGATACAGATTTAAATCAGACAACAAGACACGACTTTAGATCATGACATGGAAGTCAAATACAGAAATAGAGTGGACAGATCTAAAATTAAACCTCAGCACGAAGCCGCTCAACGTGTTTGAGATCTCAGAAGAAACTCCTTTTTATCCTCACGTTTCTACCGGAGCATCTCTCTCTCTCTCTCTCTCTCTCTCTCTCTCTCTCTCTCTCTCTCT